AATATTTTAAAAAAATATATGTTATTCAAATATTGAAATTGCTGAGTGAGAATTGCTGAATCTTCTTCGATTCATATGTACACACTAGAATGTCTAGCTGATCGGATACTTGCATATAATCAATACTTTAATATTTATGAATTAAAAAATTTGTTAAGAAATTCTTGAATATAGCATATGTGCAAATCTAAATTAAAGATATTAAAAAATTAATTTAAGTATGGATATAAATATATATAAGTTAATTTGGTCTAATTAGCCAAGATATAATGCCTTAATATACTTCTCAAATTGAAATATTATGTTCAATTCTTTAGCATATGCCAAAAAATAGGAGGAAAAGCATTCAAGAGAATGTATTTGAATTTCAGCGAAAGAAGAAATTAAATTTATGAGCTTTCTTGCTAACGATATGTGTGTATATGTATGGGTGTGTCTATATATATATATATAAATATATTATTCCATTATTTTAAATATGATGATAACGATTAGAGATGGAAGAATAGGACAGGGGTGAAAAAGCAAAAGAAAGTAGTACTAAAAGATGCAGAGAACAAAGCATATAAATAAGCCAACAAATTGAATTGAAGATGAAGAGGAAGGCAATGATATATAAAGCTGTCTAGCACCGAGATATGGATGAAAGGAGGGAGTGGGACCCATATATTAAGGCAGAGGCACATGATTGTATCCACTGAGAAGAGGGTACGGGGGACATATGTCCCTTTTGGTGCCTCTCGTGAAAGCACAACGCATTGTATTATAGTGACTGCGATCCCAATATATATCCTTATCACCCAACTTGGCTTCTACAAACCCATCGCTCTTCCCATGCCCCCGTCACATAACTTTCCACCGCCCATACCCTTCGCCGCACCGCATTATTTCATATACACGCACTACTTTCGGTTCTGAGTATAAGAAGTAATTGATTAATTTGAGTAAATTAAAGAAATTAGTTAAGTTAGTCATTTATAATAAACAGTCGTTGTTTTTTTTAAAATATCCTCACTCATCAAGTGTATTAATTAGAATTATTATTATTACAAGAACTACTTTAAGAAAAAAATAGATAAATATGAGAAACAAAATGGATTGGATTCTTATATTTAAGACCAAAATAAAAGTCAAACTAGCTTTTATATTAAGGATAGAATGTAGTATAAAAGAACCACAATGAAGAGTACATTCTCCGATCCTTGCTCTAGTCACGTAGTTAGATATTATATCATAAATACTACCTCCGGTCCTAATTATAAGAGTTAGTTGACTAATTTAAGGAGATTAAAAAAAGAAGTTGATTTAGTTATTTGTAATAAATAGGTATTGTTTTTCCTAAAATATCTTTGCTAATCAAGTGTATTGGCTAGAACTACTATTGTTAGAAGGACTATCTTGAAAAAAATACATAAATATTAGAGACAAAATGGATTGAGGTCTTATATTTAGGACCAAAATAAAAGTCAAACGCGGTCTTATATTAAGGACCAGAGGTAGTATAGTACTACTTTTGATTCTTAATATAAATGCCAGTTGACTAATTCAAATAGATTAAGAAAGCTTGTTAACTTAGTTATTTGTCTTATATTTAGAACCAAATTGAAAATCAAACAAGCTCTTATGTTAAGAACCGAAGATAGTATCATAATCCATTTTATCTTCTATACTAATTGTTTTCTTCCAAATAATTTATTTAAATTATAAAATGATACCACATCCTATCTTTATATAAGAATTAGTTGGAGATTTAATTTGATGTTAAATATAAGATATCAAGTATTTTGTCTTTAGTATTTATCTATTTTACCGAAAATATTAGAGTGTCGTATAAAAACAAAAGTCTCTCTTCCCATACTATTGTCACTTAGCACTACAACATTGGACCATACTCTTGGACACACCCGTTACTTGCCCCCTCCCAAACCTTCGTAGCTTAAATAGCTTTTCAATTATAATTTATAAAATACGAGATAAGTATATGAGAGGAGTTTTGTTTTGACTTATATGAAATGTGCTTATAAGTAACTCTAAACCTGATTCCAACTGGACTTCAAAATTATTAAGACGTGTAAGTATATTTGTACGTATGTATGTACACCTTTCAAAGTGTGAAATATATGTAGGTACGTTTAGAGTAAATTATATTACATGCTTTGAGGTTTTCATGTTTTCGAGATAAATGTTATAAGTCTAGAAAACGTCTGCTTAAATTTCAATGCAATATGATTAAACAGAAAATCACGCTACCGTCATAAATTAAACATCGGATCATTTACCTCCTAATAAAACTCATTAATTTATTTACATATTAATCAGTGAATAACACATCTTTTGTTAAATATTTAATGAAAAAAATTTGATGTGCATGCTCATTTGTAACTATAGAAAGTAACTAAAACCGCACTAAGCAATGGTTCAAACAATTACTCCTCTGGTCTTTAATATAAGACCTAATTGTTGAGTTGATTTTGGTTCTAACTATAAGATCTATTTCTCATATTTATTAATTTTTTCTAAATTACTCCTATTGATCTCTCTCAACCATAATCAAGTAGAAGAAGGAGAGAGGATATTAAGAAAGATGATCATGGTGTTTTAGAAAAAACATGTCATATTTCTTATAATTAACTGATTTAGCTAACTTTTTTAATGTAATCAAATTAGTTAAATAAGTCTTATATTAAGGATTGGAGGATTACAATGAACCATCCAAGACACAACTTGGCCCAAACTTATATGATCAGTCTCTCTTGGCGTGCGAAGATGATAAGAATGCCACGCTCACGTAATTGGTCGCAGAAAAGGATAAAAATACCACACCCTGTGAACTCCTCCATGTCTATTATTAGCTTAGAAAGAATATAATCTTTTTGCAGAGTTCATTAAAAAAACCATACATGAAAAGACATAAAATATACAGTATGTCCAAGCCTTCATAATGACTGCTTCTCAACTTTGGCAACTTGCCCTTTTTCTTTTGCTCAGCCACTTTGATTTTCTAATTTTAGATGTCTCTACTTGATTATTTTATATAAAAAAACAGAATTTCAAAGTACTCCTCTGCTCCTAAATATAAGACCCATTTTGTAGTGTAATATAAGATCCATTTTGTAGTGTAAATTACACTACAAAATGGGTCTTATATTTAAGACCAGAGGAGTATAGTGGTTACATATGTGTATATGTACCTACCTATGTATGCTTGCCTCTCTGTCTCTCTATATATATTTTCGTAGAATGACATAAAAATGATAAATTCTGGTTTGACATTGTTTCATATATTTACCAGAGCTTCTTCCCCTATTAATCTTGAATTGTTTATCAAAGGTAAACTTCGAGACGATGATGTGAAAATATATTATTCGCATGATAAGTAGCAAAGACTTTTATATTAACTAAGATATGGCTAGAAACTTGGAAGTGAAGTTCCTCCATGTTTTCCTGGAAAATCTATGTGAGAAAAAAGTGAAATTTTGCAAAGTGATCAACATTCTCAATTGAAAATACAACGGAAGTTCGTAGTAACACAATATGGTATGAGAGGATTCAAAAGCTAAAAGCGGAATCACAAACAAATTTTGAGAAGTCCAATATCCAGATTATATACATATGGAGATTAGACTTAAAAGCAATAGTAATCCTTCTAAGTTCTAATTCAGTTTAAGCGTGTGCAAAGTTTTGAACAGAATGCCAGAGTAATTCGGCTTGATTACGCTAATCGATCACACTGCGTATAATTTTCGACTCATTTGGGATAATTTGTACTCGGAATTGATACTAAAATTCCCTGGGAAAACACAGACTAAGGCAGGCATTTCCTCTGATATTCTACCTCTTGGTACAGATCAAAGTTCATTCATGCCTGCGTTACGTTTCCCATTCCCAGCCACAAAGTGGAGATTACGAAGCACGATCACCTTCACAACTTACACGACACAAGAAAGCCATATAAGGACCAAATTTTCAAAGCAGGGAGGAAGTCCTACATAGAAAAGCCTATTCCCCACTGTGTTCAGTACTGTAGCCCTCTGCAATAGGTCAGTCAAATATTCCGGAGTCACCATGCATGGACATGGCTTCCTTTGGGGTTGAAATGAAGACATTTGCTTGATTCAGAACCCTGTAATTGATAAAATGTGTGAGACAAATGTAAACAAGACGATTGAAACAAAGGTATTTGAATTGGCATCTATAGTTTCTCCATTTGCCCCATAAACTACTGATCGGCTTCTATAATAACGTATTTGAGGGCTGCTATATTTAATTTCTCCATAAAATGATGAGTCTTTGATTGGCTTTTTGACGTTGTAAGCTACCAGCATACAGAAGAATTAACGTTGTGGCCATTAGGGCTCACCAATTATCATATTTGCAAGTGTTTGCACTGCTGTTATGCTCTTCTTTTGAGCACCTTTGTCTTTGGTACAAGCAAAACAACACCTGGGCGCTGTCTGATACGTGGGATTGGAGAAAGCTAAGCTAGACGTGTTTGGTGTAAGGGATTGGAGGTAACTTGGGATTGCTTAATATCCCCCACCCCCCCAAAAAAACAAAAAATGGTATTGGAGATCCGGTTTTGGGATTGAAAACTGTGATGACCAGGACATGCAAGGATGCTGACGTGTCGGGTGAACAGCAGGGAACCACCCCCAATGTGGGAATACGTCGTAGCACACGTGAGAGGCGTGCTACCTGGAAGCTGCGAGCATAAAAACGGTTACACCAGTACAGAGTGGGTGTGTGGAATTAGTGGAATCTCTCTTCTCTCCCGTACCTCTGAATTCTGACATCTTCCTGGACCCTCTGTGGTTTTTCCCTTTCTATTATTCTGTGTCATTGCCATTTCTGTGCTGTGGTTCTGAATATACCATTGTATATCTGGATTTTATCACGTTACGTATTGTAAAGGCACGAATATTAATCAATACCAGTCCAGATTATATCATTTACCTGTCATTTCCGTTTGGTCCATTACATTGGTGCTCTCGTTGAGAGACATGGCGGAAACAACTCGATTCAAAGATTTGCAAGCCGAGGTGAGGGGCATGAGCGAGTCTATGAAACAGAACGAGACCTCGCTGAATGCAAAGATGGAACAAATGGAAGCCAACACGAATAATCGATTAGACAGGATAGAGGCCGCCATTGAAGCTTTCACTAGAGCGCCAGATGCAAGGTTAGAAAAGATGGAAGCCGCCATAGTTGGGTTGGGTAAAGAAGCAGATAGTCAACATCGTAACATCGAACGACTCAACCAATTGGTATTGGCGTTGGAATCCAGAACCGAAGTGGAACATAGCGATGGGGGAATGTATTCGGGTGGAACAGGGGGGAACCAGCACCACTATCATTCTAAGCAGGTAAAAGTGGATTTCCCAAAGTTTGGTGGTACTGACCCTTCCCATTGGATCTTCCGGGCAGAACAGTACTTTGAGTACTATGGTACCCCAGAGCCGCATAAACTGGTTCTGGCTGCCATAAACATGGAGGGCGACGTCGTACCCTGGTTCCAACTTTTGCAGAAGACAAAGGTGATACACAATTGGGCTTCACTCACTCGGGCTGTTGAGACAGAGTATGGCCCGTCACTGTTGGAGAAACCCAGGTCCAAGTTGTTCAAGCTGATGCATACAGGCCTAGTGGAAGACTATTGCAGAGAGTTCATGGCCTTAGCCAATCGGACCGAAGGGATTTCGGATGATGCCCTTATTGATTGTTTTACCAGCGGTCTGAAAACAAATGTGAAACGAGAAGTAATATCCCGCCGACCTCCCACATTGCAAAAGGCGATTGAACTTGCTAAAATATATCGCTGTGATGAGGAAATGGCCGGAACGTTGAAGACAAAGGCAAGCTCAAATCCTGCGGGGTCCAACTTTAGAGGGGGAAATAGCTCGTTCACTTTAGGTGTCGGGCCGAAGAACGCATTGCCTCCGCTACTCCCTACTCCGAATGTTAAACCGATGTCACAAGTCAAGAAGATGTCACCGGCAGAGATGATGATACGCAGGGAAAAGGGGTTGTGTTACACCTGTGATGCCAAATTCACACCCAATCACCGCTGCCCAAATAAGCAATACATGCTTATTGAATGTGAGGAACTTGAAAAGAACGCGAGGCACGAGCCCCATTCGCAGACTGATGAGCTCAAAGAAGACTTAGACGGGGAAGAAATGACGATTCACCATCTTTCGCTCCACGCTTACCACGGTTCACCTGGGAAGGCTACCATCCGCTTCGTAGGAGTGATTGGAGGTACGGAGGTCCAAATATTATTAGATGGGGGCAGTTCTGACAGTTTTATACACCCTAGAATTGCTCAACACTTGGGGTTAGCCATCGAGAAGACGAAGAATGTCAGGGTAATGATAGGAGATGGAAATGCTATGAGGGGAGAAGGGGTGGTCAGAAACTTGGCTGTGAACATTCAGGGGTATAAACTCGAATTCCTTGCTTATGTTCTTGCTATCGCTGGGTCGGACTTAGTCATTGGGCCGTCTTGGCTGGCTACCTTGGGTCCACACATTGCCAATTATACGATTGGGGAGTCTTATATCAAGTTTGCGCTAGGCGATGATTTTATTACCTTAAGAAGGACTAACCAAGCTGTAGTTGCCCAGGCAGGGTATCACCATTTACAACGGTTGGTTCACACAAAAGCAATCTTAGAATGTTATGTACTGGAGCTGAACACGTTTGATTCGGAACCCGACCCTAACATAGAGGACAAGGGCGACATAAATCCTGACTTACAAGGTATCATACAAGATTTTAGTTCGGTGTTTGACAAGCCTCATGATCTTCCACCGAACAGGGAGCATGAACATCGGATTATCTTGCATGAGGGAGTCGGACCAGTGAAGGTAAGACCTTACCGATATCCTTTTAGTCAAAAAGCTGAAATAGAAAAGATGGTCCAGGAATTATTAAATGATGGCTTCATACAACCCAGTACCAGTCCATTCTCTGCTCCAGTGATTTTAGTAAAGAAGAAAGACGGCACGTGGAGGTTCTGTGTGGACTATAGGGCCCTTAATGCGGTTACAGTAAAAGACTCTTTCCCAATGCCCATAGTGGACGAATTGTTAGATGAGTTGGGGGGTTCAGTGTTCTACACAAAGCTGGATTTACGATCTGGGTACCATCAAGTCCTCATGCATCCTCCAGACAGAGAAAAGACTGCCTTCAGAACACATCAGGGACTGTATGAGTGGTTAGTAATGCCCTTCGGACTTTCCAATGCACCAGCAACCTTCCAGGCTCTAATGAACTCTGTCTTCAAACCATTCCTGAGGAAATTCGTATTGATTTTCTTTGATGATATTTTAATATATAGCGCCACGTGGCTACAGCATTTACAACATGTGGCAGAAGTTTTGGAGGCGATGGCAAGGCATAAACTCTTTGCTAAGTTCTCTAAATGTTCATTTGGCAAGACTAAGGTTGAGTACTTGGGACATGTGATTTCAGCCAATGGAGTAGAGGTGGATCCCACCAAGATTAATTCGGTCCTGCAGTGGCCAACTCCTCAATCAGTAACACAATTACGAGGATTCTTAGGACTTTCAGGCTATTACAGGCGTTTTATTCGCCAATATGCTAATCTGGCCAGTCCTCTTACCAAGTTGCTCCATAAGGATGCTTTTCACTGGTCACCGGAAGCACAAACGGCATTTGATCAACTCAAAAGTGCACTGACACAAGCTCCTATCCTAGCCCTGCCAGATTTTTCAAAGACTTTTATTCTAGAGACAGATGCTTCTGGAGTTGGCATTGGTGCAGTATTGAGCCAGAATGGGCACCCTATTGCTTATTTCTCGAAACAGATCTCTCCTAGGATGCAAGCGCAATCTGCCTATGTTAGGGAGCTGTATGCCATCACTCAAGCAGTGGCGAAATTCAGACATTATTTGTTTGGCCATCACTTCATAATTCGAACAGATCAGGAGAGTTTGAAACATATCAAGGGACAAATTATACAAACACCTGAGCAGGAAGCTTATCTCCCGAAATTGATGGGGTACGATTTTTCGATAGAATACAAGCCTGGCAAGAGTAATGCAGCAGCTGACGCCTTGTCTAGAATAACGCATATGGGCTTGGTGAGGATATAATCTGATTTAATGGGGGAAATTACAAAAGAGGTACGTAACTCTGACTTTCTTCAAGACTTAGTACAGAGATACCATGCTGACCCTGCTGAGATGCCTGAATATAGTGTAAAAGATGATATTTTACTCTGGAAAGGTAGAGTAGTAGTGCCCCAAGATAATCCCCAATTAATACAACAACTGTTGCAAGAGTTTCATGCTTCAGTCATAGGAGGACATGCTGGCTCCTATAGAACTTTCCAATGGCTTGCTGCCCTATTTTATTGGCCCAATATGCGACAAGACATTAATATGTTTGTAAGGCAGTGTAAAGTCTGTCAACAAGCCAAGCATATTCAGACTCACCCTGCTGGATTGTTAGCCCCACTCCCCATACCTAACGGTATTTGGGAAGACATAGCCATGGACTTTATCACATCATTGCCAACGGTAAAAGGGTACTCAGTAATCTTTGTGGTAATTGACAGATTGTCCAAATTTGCTCATTTTATGCCTCTGAAGGAGTCCTACACTAGTCAGCAAGTGGCCGAGAGTTTTGTACAAAATGTGGTGAAACTGCATGGATTTCCTAGATCTATTGTCTCAGATCGAGATAAGGTCTTCATTAGCTCTTTTTGGAAACAACTATTTAAACTCCATGGTACAGAGCTATGTATGAGTTCATCTTACCATCCACAGACAGATGGTCAATCCGAAGCCTTGAACAAGTGCTTGGAAATGTATCTACAGTGCTTTGTGTTTGATTGCCCTCGGTTGTGGCTTGAATATTTGCCTTGGGCTGAATATTCCTATAACACGGCCTATCACACTGCCATTGGTATGACCCCTTTTAAGGCTGTTTATGGTAGAGACCCGCCTAATCTGCTACCATTCTATCACTCTGATTCGCTCCCCTCAGACTTATCTCAGCAGATACAACAACGAGATAAAGTCCTGGGCATATTAAAACTTAACTTGGCTAAAGCACAGGCTAGGATGAAATTTTTTGCTGATAAGAAGAGATCCGAGGCGCATTTTAATATTGGGGATCTGGTATTTGTGAAGCTCCAACCTTACAGACAAAATTCGGTTGCCCTGAGGAAACACAACAAGCTGTCTCTTAGCTATTTTGGGCCATTCCCTGTGGAACAGAAGATAGGAGAGGTTGCATACAAGCTGACACTACCGGCATCTGCCAAGATCCATCCAGTTTTCCATGTCTCATTACTTAAACCTTGCCATGGGTCTACGTCTGTGCCTTATATTCCGTTACCTTTGCTGACGGCGGAAGAAGGACCTATCCTACAGCCTCTTAAGATATTGGATACGCGGGTTATCAAGCAGCAAAGTCAATGGGTTCCTCAGATACTGGTGGGGTGGGAAGACAGTGATACACCATCATGGGAAGTACTCTCAGATTTTCACGAGCTCTATCCCTCTTTTGACCTTGAGGACAAGGTCTCGCTCTTAGAGGGGGGCAATGTGATGACCAGGACATGCAAGGATGCTGACGTGTCGGGTGAACAGCAGGGAACCACCCCCAATGTGGGAATACGTCGTAGCACACGTGAGAGGCGTGCTACCTGGAAGCTGTGAGCATAAAAACGGTTACACCAGTACAGAGTGGGTGTGTGGAATTAGTGGAATCTCTCTTCTCTCCCGTACCTCTGAATTCTGACATCTTCCTGGACCCTCTGTGGTTTTTCCCTTTCTGTTATTCTGTGTCATTGCCATTTCTGTGCTGTGGTTCTGAATATACCATTGTATATCTGGATTTTATCACATTACGTATTGTAAAGGCACGAATATTAATCAATACCAGTCCAGATTATATCATTTACCTGTCATTTCCGTTTGGTCCATTACAAAAACTTTTGGGAAAAAAAAAAACAACCCTTCCTTCAAAGCGTTACGTCTGCAATGATCGTCGCTGCCGCCATCCTCGTCGCATGTCCTCCTGCAACGATCGTCATGCCAGCTGGAGCCTCAAGTCCCAAAAGATTGAAAATGAGAGATAGGGATTGGGATTATAGTTGAGAAAAATTATTAAAATAATATTTAACATGATATTATTTGTTATATGTGATTAGTCAAACCCTTAGACGTGAGATTGGAAAATATCACCTCTTCCCATGGTATTTTATAATCTCATATCTATTGCTTTGACTAATCCTATGTAATAAGTAATCTCTCATACTTAACATTCTTTTAATAGATTTTTTTCAATTTCAATCACAATTCTTGCTCTTAATTTTCAATGGTTGATGCCAAACGGAGCTTTGAGTTCACTAATGAGAGCAACGATGATCTCGCGGCATCCTTCCTCGACGACGATCTCGCTAATGCTGAGAGCAGCACCCTTCATCTGATTCGAAAACAGATCACGTCGTCGCGCAAACTGATTTCCTTCGATTGCGACTTCCTCTCCACGCGGCGGCGACGGCTTTAATATTTTTTATTTTGTTTAGTATTATATGTTTAAAAAAAAATTGAACTCCTCAAATTTATCAATTTTTTATTTTTAAATCCATTTTATTTGATATGAAACTTTTTATAAATTTCTGTAGTCACCAGTCAAATGTGCTAATTTAATATTAATAATATAATAGTTCACATGATCGCGGGTTCGAATGTCTGACCAAAAGTCTGTTGAAGTCTCTGTACTGAGAAAAATCTTCGTACAATATATTCCATATCGTATAATAATTTACATGCTAGAATTGGCTCGCAAGTATAATTCTCCCTTGATTCTCCAGATATTTTAGTGGCCCCATGTGTCAGTGGCTATTGATTTAACATAGGGACCGTTTGGTTCAATTGCAGTTTGCTTTTACAATACACTGCAGGGCAATGTAGTAGGTTGCAATGCAATTTTGATTATTGATGATCTGTTTGGTATATTATAAAGAAAACATGGTAGATGATATTTATTATTTTCAATAAAACAAATAAAATTTATGAAATGACCCTTTTAATACTTGACCAAAAAACAATCCTTCCCTTCCCGAACGTTTCTTCTTCCTCGACAAGACTGCTGATAAAATACACACATCAATCCTTCATTTCACTAGCTATTGAATTCATTATCATAACGGACTGGAACCATTAAAGCCCATGATAAAATCATCTCTGAAAATAAGGCCACTATCATCATCATCATCAAAATTTTTACATCTTCATCAACCCAAATGAAAGATACTGTTTATAAAACAAGAGAGATCTGAATCAAAGAAGATAAGGGAAATGAAAAAACAGATATGGAAAGAAAGGATATGAAATAGAAAAAGAATTAGGTCTGAAAACCCAAACAACACGCAAATCAAAGAATGCAGAGACAAGATCATCATTGAATGGCATGGAAAGGCAGATATATGAGATTTTTGAAGGAAGGATGCTGGAGGCTAATGATATAGCAAGAGGAGAATAAAGCGGGGGTCATGACGAATGCAAAGCATAGGGATAGAAATCAGGCAAATACAGTGGTGGTGCTAGGTGTCGAGTACGGCTGCGTTCATGGTGGTCAGGTCATCAGCGGCAGCGGGTGCTAGGTGTGGCTGAGGTGTTCACAATGGTCAGCGTCGTGGTGAGTGCTGGGTGCAACAACATTCACGGCTGTCGGCTGCAATGGAGGGTGAGTGATAAAGAACAAAGGAGACTACTGAAACAAATGGAGGGCAGATGTGACTTTTTCAAATATGCAGTGGATGGTAATGAGTATTCATATGGGGAGGTATGAACGAGGATTACCAATTGTTTTGGTAATTATCATTACCATGATAAATCCTATTACCAAATTAAAGAGCAACGAAACATTCTCTTCTTGGTAATGTAATTTTTAATTACCGTTACATGTTTGCAATAGAATTGAACCAAACGGGCTCATAATATCTCGGTTTCTTTTTCCCTTCATCGCAAAGATAGCTCATTTTGTTGCATTCCTGGACGATCAGTTTAACCATTAATTAGATAACAGATGAAGTTTCTAATATGTTAACTTTCATATCTTAAAAAACATTATGCGAACGTTTTCCTTTATCTATCTCATGATGAGGAGACTAAATAAATAAGATTCATGCTTCGAAGAACACGTATGTAACAGAGAAGAGTTTGGACGCTGCAATTTTATTCATTGCCGATCCAGCACATACGATAACAACACTGACGAAATCACAAACACCACAAGTTAGCTGCTTTGATTCATATAATACTGAACCTCCCTTTACCAGATTCAGCTCTTTTCACAAACGCCACCATGAACACATTTCCACTGTTTTGCTTTTCCACAACCAGATTCCTGCTTCCCTCCTTCTTATATTCAACGCCAACGTCATAACAAGTACCAGAAGAAGAAGAACCCACAATGTTGCCTCGGGGGCAAAACACAAGCTTGTAAGCAATCGCATTGAACACCTCGATCTGGAAAACACCACTCACCAACTCAGAATCTGGATGATCTTCAGGCCCTCCAGTAACCACCCTCGAGGAAGATCCAGATTCAAAAGCCACCACCCACTTGGAGGATTCGGCACAATCTGGTTTTTCCGCGAACTCGATTTCCAGATCAGTAGAACCTGGATATATCTTGTCTGTGCTTGTTCCTTGAACATGGAATTTTACTGGGGCACCCTTGTTCAGGTCAGAATTTTCTTGCAAAACCGAATATGAGCATGATGAGGCATCCCCAGTTTTTTCTGGTTTAACCCCGCCACCTCCTTCTCCCCATACAGCTGACATTATGTAGTACTCTTGATCTGCAACAAGTGGTTCTCCATTGACGTCATTCACTGGTTCTTCACCACTATAAGCTGAGGCCAGTGATAATGGTTTGGTGATGGTGAAGGAAAACCAGAGCAGGAAGGAGAGGGTTATGATCAGTGACCTTCCAGCAGGCATCTTGCTCTCTCACGGTAGTATTAATTACTGGATGTTCCAGGATTCCTTGTAACTTGAAATCTGAGAGAAACACAAGGCTTGGCATGTCCTTTATATGGAGAATGCGAGGAAGGAGGATCCTAGCCAGCAAG